ATCACTTGCCAAGGTTCTGTCCCTACCTTGACGGGTAGGGTGATTCTTCCTTCCGGCCTGACCATGTTGTTGGAAAAGCCAACAAGTGGGACATCGGCGGGCTGAAGGCGCTCGGGGGGCCAGATTCATCTTCTTGAATGCATCGTAAAAGAAGATATCGAATGAGGAGCCGTTGTCTACCAAAATCCTCTTCACCATCAAGTTCGCTATGACGGCTGAGATCACGAGTGCGTCATCATGGGGGATAGTGACCCCCTTCAAGTCCTTGTCCATGAACACAAGGGCTTGCTCTTGCTTCAGCTTCTTGGGGGGCCAGCCCCTAGATGCTCAGTTGCCTAGCGTAGGCCTTGTGGGCCGAGGCCGAGGCTCCACCCGAAGTCATGCCCCCAGTGATGACGTCTATGATGCCGACAAGTTGTTGGTGTTGTTAGGTGGCAACAATGGATGAGGGACTATTTCGTTCTTCAACTCGTAGTAGTCCTTGATGTCGTGGCTGGTGCCACAGTGGTACTTGTAGTATTTCTTCGGATTTCCCCTCTTGGGGTTCCTTTTCATTTTTTCTAGCCACTTCACATACTCCTCCTTCCCGACCTACATGAAGATCTGATTTCAAGTGGAGTTGAGTGGCGTATACTAATTGTAAGCCAGGGCTGTAGCCGATAGCTTCTTGTTGTCCTTATTGTTGTTGTTGCGATGGTCACCGTTCTTTCTCTTCTTCTCTAGGCCCTTATGATGGCGATTGGCCTCTCCATCCTTGCAATCGCCAGCCCATACCTCATCAGCAGGCAACAGCGGTGTAGTTATGAGCCTTCTTGAGAAATTCTGCCTTGGACTTCGGCGGGGTCTTGGCTACCGAGCACTTGAGGGTCAAACCAGGCAGGAGGTTGTTGATGGCGGCGTGCATGGAGACCATAGGGTCGAGGTCTCAGACCTCAAGTTCTTCTTTCTTGAAGTGGTCAATATGGGACTATAGGCTCCTGTCGCGCTTCTGTTTGACGGCCATCAGGGAAATGATACTCTTCTAGCATTGCTGGTTCCTGATGAAGTGGACGAAAAAGAGTCCAACAAATTGCTCCCTTGAATCGACAGAGCGAGGAGGGAGGACGGAGAACCAGCGGCGGGATGGTCCCTTGAAGGTTGCCTGGAAAGTCCGGCACGTTAAGGCGTCGGAGTACCCATAAAGGAGCGCAAGCGCCTTGAAGCTTTCCAGGTGGTCGTTTGGGTCAGTCGTCCCAATATACATTTCCAACACTAGCGCTTTGAAATGCGGAGGGAGAGGCTCAGAGATAACATCCGAGGTGAAGGCATCCATCCTTCCGGACGAATGGCTTTGGCTGGTCGAGGCCTCTGATCAGCTTTCTCTGACTTGGCAGAGCTCGTCCTTGACGACTCCGAGTTGTTCTTGGAGGTCGACAATTCGTTAGTCGAGGGGGAACTTGGCCTCGTCCCAGTCCTCGTAGACTCAGTAAGGGTCGGCCCTAACCCCCGTGTATTCTGATGAAGGGCCACATCCGTTCCTTCTAGCCTGCCTATCATTCAAGAGGTCTCGGAGGTCCGAAACATGTGAGGGAGAGGCACGACGTTGGCCCTCGGCCCTTGAGAGGGGGTTGTGGTGGCCAAACCACCCGCCTTCGTCTCAGGAGTTCTCTCTCTGGCGACAGTGACATTGTTCTGGATCTCGGTAGTGATCGTGAGATTGTGCCGATTCTTCCCCCCTTTGGCTGGGGGATCTAGAGGTTCTCTGTGGCTGGTTGGCACGCCGACTGCTGTCGGATTCTGAGGGGTCGGCCTGGTGGGAGTCGATTAGGCCAAGGGCCAACGGGTCTGCAGATGCATGCTCGCCCTGGTGGCCCGAGCTCCCGGTAGGGTGGCCGCCCTAGGGGTGGCCTCCTGCCTGTGGATACGCCTCGTCAATCCGTTGAGCGAGGTGGCCTAGCCGGTCGAGGACCACTTGGAGTTGTTCTGTTGTAATCAGGTTCTAGGCGTTCCTGGTATTTCTCACCATGTCGGCTGAAGCTTAGGCTTAGGAGTTGTTTCTTTTAGTTTTTTAGAAAAATTTGATTAAGGGAAGTTTTAGCAACGTTCCCACATATACCGCCAATTGTTAATGCTCGGAATGGACCGATGACAACATTGTAATTCTGCTCTTAAATCGGGGTGTCCAAGGTCTGAGATGACTGAGGTGGCCGAGGTGTCCAAGGTCCAATGTGGCCGAGGTGTCTGAGGTCCAGTGTGGCCGCGGCATGAGGAGACTCAGGACTAGTGAGCCGGTCCTACAAAGAGGAGAATGTCAAAGCCCCCGGGCGAGAACACAAGGTAGAGTCAAATTAGTATTAGAAAGGCCTGAGGGGGAAAATGTTGATGAGGTCTGCGAGGTGAGTGCCCCTCGAATATTAGCTAGAGAGTCTTGATTCGGATCCCTTACCTTGAGGGGGTCACCTCACATGGAGGTAGATAAGCTCGGACGGTTTGAATAGGGCCCCGTACGCGGAGATCGCGGCCATCCGAAGCTGCCAGTGAGTGATCGGCAAAGCCCGCCCAGCTTTGTTACGCGCACTTTGATTATGTCCGCTGTAAACTACGCCGCCAAACACGTGTAGGCCCGCGATTGGACGAGCAGACCGCGGCTACATCAAGTGGGACTCAATGTGATCGCGCTTATTTTCTACCAACTCCTATCAACATTCCCATTTAGCTGACTTGCTTTAGTTGAATTTTGGAAGTTGGAGTTCGAAAAAAAACACTAACAACAACAAAGAAATTAATTGCAGTAAAAAAAACGGGAATTAATGATAAATGTGTGGGGGACGCTGAGTACTTGGTGTTAGACTTGGGGAAACCAACCAAATTTTGAAAAGTAAAGTTTTGTTTGTTCAGCTCCAGCTCCAGTTGGAGCATTTTGACTTTGCTAAATTAGGACTATCTTATATTACTTCCTTTTCTGATCAAGGTTAATTATTTATTTTTTTGGTTATTAATTATAAAAATAGTAAAATACATGTTGTTGCACATATTTACACGTCTCTCCCACATGTTCAATGAATTTCGATTGTCATAACGTTTGTAATAGTTGCAACGTATCCATTACCTCTCATCCTCTCTCTTATTAAAAAAAAAAATACCTCTCTCTCTCTCAACAAGCTAGCTTTGGCTTTAAGTAGCTTTTGGACACCGGCGTTAAACATGTTACAGATGATACATCTCATATCTCACTATCTCAATTCTCAAGACATCAATGAGATGAAGGAAATTAAATGATTTAAATTCTTACAAAATCATATTTAAACCCAAAATAAATAATTTCCCTAATTTTCAATATGTTTCCCAAGTATATGGGTGATAAGCAACCACTCTCATCTTGAAGGATGCCTTGGGCCTCGTTTTGCAAATCTTTCCATGCGGTCTTTCAGCTTTTTGTTTGGCGTGTCTTTTTGCGCGGTCTTCCGATTGTTTACAAGCTGGGCAGATTGTACCTCCCTCTTTTTTTGTTTGGTTCATAACAGATTTATTCGCCAAAAGTCGGTGCACCGAAAAGACTCGAGAAGCCTATTTTGGGCTGATTTCGGGAAGCTCCAAATGGAGTTTTTCGTGTCTTTCTCCTTTATCCTCACGTGGAAAGACACAAAGATACACAGAAAGACGTGCGATAGCCAAACTAGCTTCAAGCTACTTAGATCTTCATGCAAAAACTCAGTATTTTAACTATCAGAGCTACTAGAAGATCTTCCTAGACATAGGTACAAATAGGGATGTCAACGGGATGGGTTTGGCACAAGTTTGCCTCAACCCTAACTCGATCCTCTAGTACCCAAACCTGAACACAACTCGACCTGGCTTTAAAAACATGATTCCCGAACCCGTCCTGACCCTATAGGGTTTAACCCGATTCTGACCTGACTTGACCCGTATAGTTTTAAATATATTTTTTAACACATTTTGAAGACCTAAAATACATTAATTTAAATAAGTAAATTATTTTATAGATTCTAAGGTGTTATTTTTTCCATTTAAAAATATAAGAAAACCAAAATCAACATATAAATAAATTATAAACATTAAGCCTGTAAAGTTAGAAGTAAAAAAATTACAAGAATACTTGATATATATGCAAGGTATCATGAACCAACGAGGTGGTCAGACAAAATCCAAACCCAACTCGGGTCAAAGAATCAAAACCCTAACCCGACCCTAAACCAAATATACTTGACCCTAACCAAACCCTATAGGGCCAGGTCAAGCCGAGTTTACCATTTAACACGACCCATTGAAATCCCGGTAAAAAAAAACAACAAAAAGGTAAATTACTGAAGTCTCCCCTGAAGTTTCTAACAATTGCTGAAACCTCCCCTAAAATTTTGTAATTACAATTATCAACCCTGAATTTTTTGACATAGTTGCAATTAAACCCCTCTATTAAAATCCTCTAATGAGAGGCATGCATGAAAATATCCAAAATATACATACAGTTACTACTAAGGCTGATTTTTACATGAAAATAGTGTACAAACTTTATGAACAACAAAAAAAATAGTTTAAAGTTGTAGTATTACTTTTGAGCCATTGATATATAGGCCAAATTTAGAAAATAAATCAATTTTAAAAAAGATTTGGATAAGGCTTGTGATTGACATGAAGAAAAATTTTGAAAAATAAACATTTTGGTAAAAAGTATATTTTGAACATTTTAATGCCTCTTGTTAGACCATTAGAGGATTCTAAAAGGTGTATATGTAAGAAAGTTAAGAGTATGTGATTGCAGTTACCAAAATTCAGGGGAGGTTTCAGCAGCCACCCAAAAGCTCAAGAGACGCTTCAAGAATTTACCGTTAAAAAAACTGTTACACGCTAGCTCTAACAAGTCAAATATACATTTATGACATCCACAAATTCCTACTGTTACACTCTTCCATTTCGCTTTCTGTCATGAGTCACACAAATTTTACCAAATTAAAAAAAAAAAAGGGATGAATCACACAACGAAACCGGAAAAGTAGTAGCAATAATAAAAAGGAAAAGAAAACAATCTATTATTATATACGAGTGCAATCTGTACAAAAAATGTAAGAAGAACAACTACCCCCACAAGGTCACAACCAGAAGCCAGAATCCACAATTCCTCGCTTTACATTAAAGCCAACCCACGAGAATTTCTAACTCGCCCGCCTCTCAGCAACAAAAGTTGATTGATGAAAAGAACCCAAGTGTAGAAAAAAAATCTGGTAGAAGACAACCCGGCTCTAATACCTACTTTTTAGCTATTTTTCTCTAAATCTGAACTAAAAATCAACATAATAGAAAGTACCTACACAAGCTCAATGATCGAATCAAACTATTACCAAATTTCTTTTCAACATCGTCTTCCCGTCAAACGGTTGATAACGATGATGAATGGTAGCCCATCACCAATTCACCATCAGCTAGGAGAAGAGTTGTTGCTGTTACTGTTGTCGTTTTCGTCATCATCAATACCGTAAAAGAAGGGGTCATTAAGGAGATCCGAGGCGGACGGTCTCTCCCTGGGCCCTGCGAGGCACTTGTCGATGAACGCCCTGACCTCAGGGTCCTTCACCTTGTTCAAGGCCTGAGGTCTTACCCCGGTCGTCACCTTCTTGTATATCTTCACGATACTGTCACACTCCGAATATGGTATCTCCAGCGTCATCATCTCCAGCACGCACATCCCGAACGAGTATATGTCCACCAACTCCGTGTACTCCTCTTCGTACAGCTCCGGCGCCATGAACTCCGGCGTCCCCAACACCGAGTGCGCTGCGTGGCTCCTTCCCACTATCGTCGCCAACCCCAGATCCCCTATCTTCACCTGCCCGATGTTCCCGTTGATGAAGACGTTGCTGCAATTGAGATCTCTGTGAATGATGCAGGGGTCATGAGTGTGGAGATATTCCAAGCCTTTGAGTATTTGTTTCGACCATTTCTTCAAGGCCTTGATCGAGACATGGCGATGCTTCTTACGATACTCCCTCAGATTCCCCGATGTGCACACCTCAGTTATAAAATTCAACGTGCTTTGTTCCTCGTCCATCCACACATTATACAACATAATGATGCTTTTGTTCTTCAACGTCCGAAGCAACCTAACCTCGGAGAAGAGACGATTGATGACAGACTCGTCCTCGATGAAGTTCCTCAGCCGGACTTGGTTCCACGCAACCTCTATCCCCTCCTCCTGATCGAACCCGCGGTAAACTTTCTTCACCGCGCCTGCACCGAGCAGATCGCTGTACCGGCCGTAACGTCCCGTCGGATCCACCTCCACAAACGGCTCAACGTCCTTATCGGACGGATCTGGACTTGCGCAGGGCATCTTCAGATGTTGTTGATGATCCTGAAAATTCTAATTTCAGGATCTCAAAACCTAAAACGTCCAAAATGTTCCGAACACACACACACCAAAAAAAGGAACCAAATGACGAAGAAGGAAATTAGGAAAACCTAATTAAGCAGCTGTTATAGGACTAAGAGAAATTAAACCAAATGCAAGGCTGAAGACACCAATAGGTAAGCTAGCTGCGGTTTCAAACAACTTTGGATCGACGGAAAGATAAACAAAGAAAGGTGGGGAAGATGGACAATCAAAAAAAGATTGAACTGAAACAGATTACCATGAAATACGACGTTGGAACTTCTCTGCAATACGAACCGCTTCGAACCATCTCTTCGATCAATTCCTGCTGAAAAACAAACGACAGGAAAACAACGAGAAAGGGAGACAGACTGACAGAGAAAGAAAGAAACAAAGCGCAGACAATATATCAGAAAAGAGTTGCAGAAGCCAGAAGGAGAACGAAAAATGGAGAGGAAAAAGGATCGCAAGCCAAACGTATTTATAGACGGCGAATTTGCTTGACGTAAGCGTAAAGTCAATGTAATTCAAATCGGGGTTAAATTCGTAAATCCAAAAATTATAAACAGACATGTAAATTGCCGTGAAACCCAAAAAAGATTCACTTACCGTTTTTTCATATTGAAGACATAGGGTAGGTATATGGTAGGCACAAAGCTACAGCTCTCATGTGCACAGACTACTGCGTGTTCATTCGTGATTGGTTAAGTGGTCCATTGTACACAGCTGTGCTTTTAAAAAACTTGACGCGCCTCGTTATTTCGGGCTTTTTCGCAAGCCATGTGTTAAAATACTATCAAGTATCAACGCGTTGATAAGGGATTTTTACAGATCACAATGTATTTACGCCTAACTTCCTTATAAACACCATCCTCCGTGAATTTATCATCTTTTTCTCTCTTGAAATTAATCCAAATTGTACGATGAATTTATAAATTCTGAAATGGAGCGGATCGTAAAATCCCCGAAGGCATTATTGTCACTCTTTGTTTTTCGGTTATAATCACGTGTTTTAGATCATCATCATTTAATCCTTGTACGAATTCTACAGATCGGCTACATGAATCATGATTTTCCATTCCATTTTCTTCTGTGTTGTTGATCAAATTATGAGTATTTTTATTATTTCTTTTTAAATTTACCCAAGTCCTCTTCTATATTTCTATCCTTCAATTTACAACAAGCTACGCTACTTTCATGTGCATAAATCAAATTATCGTAGTATATTTGTTTAGAAGGATATACATCTCAAGTGTTTGGTCTTGAAATAAAACAGGCATGTTTCACCAAGCAGCAATAAGGGGCGGTATTAACGTATGAACTAAAGAAATAGAGTATTGTCCAAATTCGAGCAATAGGTTCCCGCAATTGGCAAGAAGAGGATGCAGCCTTGACTCGCCTTCAATGCAAGTAGCCTTCCCTAATAGCTTGAGCTTCGATGACCTCTGGCTGATCCCACGCCCCAAGCACAACTCTCCTTTGCCTTGAAGCTCATCTCAATGCAGTTGGCCCACGAAGGAGACCAGGAACAAGGCGCAACCAGAATCGCCAACTCTTTCTGGTTACACAATTCACTAATATGGGCAGAAGCTCTCCTGATGATCGAAGTAGGGAAAAATGCCTCATCCTTCATAATTAATTTATTACATATGGCTTTCCAATAATACCACATGATAATGGCGCACAATTTAAATAAATTACCATCATTAGCCCTCTACCATTCTAAGAAGAACCAATCTTCAAGGGATCTGGCATTCATTGTATCAATCCTAAGTGCCACCATGGAACCGAACCACACCGGCCGTTTCATTGCAAGACAATAGAGAAATCGGTGCTCCACCATTTCTTGCTCTTCATTACAAACGGCACAGATTCCATCAAAATTGGGAATGTGCATTAGTAGGAAGGCGTCGATTAAAAAAAAATGAGAACTCTTGGTGGTAAGTGATGATGCACAATTTGGTGCTCCCTAATGGTGCACAGTACGGATACTGGGCTGAGTAGGTCGCCTGGTCGATATGCAAGAAAGAGATCAGAGTGTCTGAATTGTTTTACCTGGGATGGGCACTCTGATGCTTAAGTTAGCAAACTCGATATGTAATTACTAGAATGCAAGTACTTGAGAACCAAATCGCACATACCTTCTGAGCTTGGAGGTGAGACCCTTATATACGTGGGTTGCTGTGAGCCTCACGAAACACATCTAGGATCTCCGGCCCGTATGGTTCGGAGGTGGTTTCATGCCTGAAGATGGATTCCGTGTAAGTGGATAGAGCTTATCCAGCCATACCCAAAACGGGCGGGGTAATACTCGGCTCTTCCGACGTGGCGTCGTGATCCTGGGAAAATCAAAGACGATAACTCACTTAAGAAGGAGGTCGCCTGGTAGGTCGCTAGTTAAACTCAGGTCAGTGAAAGCAAGTCGCCTCTTACACCGACCTAAGGTCCCATCTAATCGTTTCGTAGTTCGGTCTTCCGAAGTGGCCCCAAAGTTATTGATGTAGTTGTAAAGTGTGCCAGGTGATCTGCTTACATAATACCAAGGTATCACCCAATTGTTCTGTGATGTTACGTGTAATAATGTCATTGAAAGACCAAATTACTCCTCAACAATTACTCTTTGAGATTCCACAAATGTTTTCATGAAACTTCAAGAAAAGCCTAAAAGGCAGGATGAATAACTAATAACTAGCATCATTCTCACACACAATCGATAAGCAGAGGCACATGTGAGTTTACCTTTTAGTGTCAAGGACCAAGCCAACTTATCCTCCACAGGGCTGGGCTTTGATGTGAGAGGAGTGCAGAGAATAGCCTCGCTAGTGTCCACATCAAATGTAGCTTAAATTTTGGATGTGCACCACTAACCAGAGACCGGGTCAATAAGTTCTGCAACACGGTAGGGTAGTTGGACTGAGCCAGCTTGAACATTTATTATAATTATTCTTACTTTATATGATTTCATTTGACCTCATATTTTCTAGTTTTACCATTCATTTATTTAAATTTATGCATTTTATACCATAATATTTTTTACATATTATTTAGTAATTGCCCAACACTTTGCTTCAACAACATAACTGACCTAATGATATTCCATTGTCATATGAGATACATACACACTTTCATTTTGCCCATCTTCCTTAAGCTCCCATTTGTTTTGAATTATTGACCCAGATCAATGGAAGAGATCAGTAGATCACATTAAATTATCTCTTGATTTTAAATGTAACAAAGATTATACTTCAATTATATTAAATTTACATTGCATATGCCCTGTTTGCTTCTACTAGCGTAAAAGCATGTGTTAAGTATACGTGCAAGCAAATATTAATTATCTATGATATGTGGTATTTGGATTTAACTTTTACGTTATACATCAAAAAAGGCAAGTATTTAATTTATATAGCATAGGTTCATTTTAAATCCTCTTGTTTTAATGTACGTTTCCATAACCTAATTTAACATTTCATCCTCCATTAATTTCATCGATTAATACCATGTCATGAACAAACATTAAGCGCCATAGGACTTCCTCATGGACTTGTTTAGACAATTATTCTATGACTATGCAAATAAACAAGGTTAAGCACTAATCCTTGGTGAACTCAATTAGACCAAGTAGATAATTTATATCTGGGTCAATGGGATCGGTGTAGACCATATTAGATCAATGTCAAAAAGAATCTCACATTGTTTCATTTTCATTGATAATCTATTATTTCTTTTATGGGCTTGGTGCTAGGATGGCAACAAGGCGGGTTCAATGAGGGTTTTGTAAATTCTAGATCCTACCAACCTTCCTAAACCTCTCAACCCAGATCTACTCAAAAACCCATAGCGAGCTGGATTTTGAGAATTCAAACTCCCCTCGCACATGAAAATGAAAACCCACCCCGACCCTATCCACCCCATATTCAAGGGTTGAGTTGGGTTTAGAACCCGCATCTAACTTTTATATATATATATAAGTAAAATAACATGAAAACAATAAAATTTTCAATTATTTGATTAAAACATGTAAAAAACACAAACTATCAATTATCATTCACATAAAATGCAAAGCTTCATTAAATTCTACACCTAATACATAAAGTTCATAACCCGGCCCTTCCACCCCAAAACCTGTATTCAAGAACAAAAAAAAAAAAAACCGCCTTGATGGGGTGGATACAGATATTCAATGCATTCAATTTCCTCTCGTTAAGTCCAACACTTAAGGTATTAATTTCCATTCACCTTCATTGAATCATATATTTAAGGAAATTTTATTTCTTCTCATCATTAAATTCTATTAATTAAATCTATACATAATAAATTAATAATTCCAATAACATAAAAACATACTTTTGAAATCTACCTTGAAAAAAATAGCGTTTTCAACTAGGCAACGGTAAGAAATTAAACCATTTCGAGTCAAATGGGCCAATCCATGTTGTCACAACTTTCAGTAATTATTTATTATTTTTTGTGATAAATAAATTTTCAATAATTAGGTATAAATATATTTTTGTTTGCTATTTAATAGAAAATTTTCAATAATTATTAAATCAATTAAAAATATATTTTAAATAGTTACTAAATAACTTTCAATTATGATACATAGAATTAGATTTTAAATATTTTGTTAAATAACTAAATATTTTAAATAATGAAATATTTAACATAACCATATTTTAAATAGTTAAAATAACAAAATTATGTATTAATAGTACTATAATTTTATGGGTTATTAAATTCAACAAGTAATTAATATTTTAAAATTTAAATAATGGTATTATTTCAATAAATAAATAATATTGTAAATATCTAATTTCATTTATACCAATTAATAATTCTAGAAAATAACTTTCCAAAAAATTAATGTTTATTAATAATAATTTTAGAACTTAAAATATATTTATATATACTAAAATTAATATTTATTGTATTTCAGTAATTATATATTTATTGTTTTCTGTGATAAATGTATTTTCAATATTTATGTATAAATCTATTTTTGTTTTGTAATTTAATAGAAAATTTTCAATAATTATTAGAGTTTAAACTAGTGTTATTTAGCTTTGTAAATTTAATTTATTGTGTATTTTTGCTATAATTTTTAATAATTATTGCAGATGAAACTATTGTTCATGGGCTACTTTGGTTTAGTTGTAATTTCTTTGGCCAACCAAATCGACCTGGTCAGGTTGGGGAGTTGGTCACTCAGGTTATATCGGTTTAGGTCAATTTTTTCGGTTAGGTTAGTCAATTCAAAAGATTTAAACATAAAAAATTAAATTTAAATTTTAAAAAATTACAATGGAATTATTAAAAAAATAAATTTAAAAATTAAATTTATGACATATAATATTTTAACCTAGGAAATATTGGAATTTTCCCACTTTCCTATATTAAAAAATATATTTAAAATATAAAATATTAATATATGTCTA